GGGATACCTGGAGCTTCAGCTACTCTAGAGCTGCTAGTGTCAGGTACTTTTTTATTTGTGGTTATATAGTCAGTCACTATTTATTTGCATATAGTTATGGTACAGACTATCTTTCTATGAAATGGGATGATGTTAACTGTGCCAGTAGCAGCTATTTATCCATTGCTCAATGTTCCTACTCTACTATCATTGAGAGTGGCTGTGTTAACAGTAACAGTTATGATGCTACTGTATACTGCTGTAAGATATATATTCAACCTATTTCTATGCACATGTTCAATGTATCATTATAGATACTACTAGAATCTGGAACAGTAGCCCATTCCCTGGTATGGTACGTCTTCAAGATGGAATTTATTCTAATGAAGGACGTGTTGAGGTTTATTGTAATGGACAGTGGGGGACAATATGCAGTGACGGGTTTGACTCTACTGATGCCAACACTCTCTGCAAGCAACTGGGATATGATGGTTATAACAGCTTTGATCACACCTCAAGGTCAGTTTTATTGATTTTAAAGTGTAACTGCAGTGATTTTTTAGGGTATTTATTTTATGGTCTTAATATGATTGCCTGACCATAATAATGATGTGTTCCAACTCCTATTGTCTAAAAAAATTTATTCACTGAGATATGAGCCTTCAAAAATGCACTTTTTGCTTCCTTTCAATTTACTTCCTGTCAATGGGTGTGGCTAAACGTGACGTCATAAGAGGCATGATGCAGATAACTCCATTCCTTTATAGGGGGAAATGATCCTTTATTCTCATGCTTTGTGATGTAATAGCACTAATTTAAAGATTGGGATCATTAGATTTCATTATCCTAAGCATGCAACTGCAAGAAAAAGTCATAATACCACACTTTGGTGAATCTTCTTACCATAGGCGGCTGCAGGCCTAAGCATTGGGGGTCATTGCCTAGGCTAAAGATTACTTTTGAAAGCAGAAACAATGCTATTATAAGCTTATTTATCCTTTTTGCCACACCCTTTTAATTATAAATGCCTAAACTGAGTTGACCTCTACAGCCACCAAAGCC